CTGAACGGCTTGACGGATTTTAGCTTGAGAGGTGTCGTTTGATTCGTATTTACTGTGAGATTGACACTGGGTGCATCAAAATAAAAAAATACACAGACACGCAGTGGGGTATTTTAGTTTTTTAAATTATATTCCACTTGTCTTTCTAATAATTTTAACCTTCGTTCGATCTCAGAAATTGCGACCGCAGGCATCACAGACAGAAGCACCGTTATAGAGGCGAGCGTCATCCGTTAAGTCCATGGTCAAAGGGCAGCTAATTCCCTCCATTTGGCTGGCAACATTCGTGAAACAGCATTCTCGCGTGCGCGACAACCGACAAAGCTGTCGCGGCGCCGCCAACGAGCGCGGCAGTCGGGCTCATGTATAATTCATGCGGCCTCCGTCGTTCATGCAAATACTTGCTAATAATTCTACGTGATGATATATAGGAGAAAAAAGTTAGCAACGCCCGCCGAGTTGTGTTAGCATGAGTAAACTGTATTGTAGTTACAGTTTTTTTTTTTTTCGTTTTTTTTTTTAAAAACATTGCTCTTACTTTAGGACAACATTATCCTGTGTTGTAAGGACGTTTTACAAACATAAATTACACGCGGACAAACACCCAGATGCGAAACAATTAATATCTTTGGGTCACACAAATAGTTGTCCCGTGTGGGGATCGAACCCACGACCCCCCGAAGCCGAAGCCAATACCTTGGCAACTGCGCCACAGAGTCATCAAAGTACCTCTTGTATTTAATGTGAACAGTCTTAGATTTATGCACCGTGCGTTATTTGTTTACGTCAAAGAGCAAGCGGTTCACCTGATGCGGATTAAGGATCGCAATCTGAAGGCATTCAGAATACTCAGACCATAGGAGATGTTACAAGCACTTACAAGGACTTTTTTATGTGATAAGGTGGCAAACGAGCTGGCGATTCACCTGATGTTAAGTGATAACCGCAGCCCATTGACATTTGCAACACCCGTAGGTTTGCAGATATCAAGGATAAAGTGGGTTCCGTGGAAATGCAGAAGTATAAAACTTTTCACTTCACGCCGGTGTTCTATGAGGTTATGGTAATGGCTAGACGGACCTGCCCATTCGTGTAATAGTTCACTCTTACTGTCAAGACTGTTGCATGATCCTACCACCCTAAATATCGCAGAAACCCGCATTTCTACGGGTTTAGTGACTGTCGACTGACTGTATACTGTTTATTTTTTCACTTTACACAAAGCTTTTGTGCTAAACCGGACTTAATGCCAAAGGTGTTTTCAGCCTGTCAACCTAACGGGTGGTCCAGAAAAGTTGAGAAAGGTACACAAATAAAATAACAAAAAAGAGAAAGGAATACACATGATTACAGATAATTTAGATACTACATTATTCGTTTTTATATATTCGAACTGAAAATAAAACATCATCCATTACCAGTGAATTTATTCGAGGATAATGAGTAATTGCACCTAAATAGGCACTTTCTGGGGCAACTTTCAGACATTTATGAAATAATTTGTTTATAAAAATTATAAGAGAAACATTAAAAAAAATTGGCTAACCTTAAAAATAAATCTTAGAAAAGGTAATAGAAACGCAAAACAATTAAATGCCGTTTAAGTTAATGTTCTTAGAGTGATTAAGCGTAATAAATTACAAAGTGTTGCTATTTCTCATTTATTTCAAGATCGATGAATCAATTACTTGAACACTGAAACTATGGCGTTTCAAGATCAAGTTTCTATGAGTAATCGCTGACGTTTACGTAATAACAACATTATAAACGTCGAAAATTGCGCAGTAACACGACAACGGACAAAAAATAGCATGATCCGTTGACATAACAAAAGAATGTTCTAATCAACGTAACGTGTGCACCGATGTTGTTATTGACCCAAAACTTGGGGATTATGTACATCACTCACGAACGCACCGTTATCGGCCTCCGCGTCATTACGTATTCAATAATCGACGAAAGCAGTTATTAGTTAGTTATAGTCGCTAACGCTACCGATGGGTGTTCAATAGGGACGTGGTCGTTTTATGATTGAACTATGACAGAGTTTTATGGGTATATTTAATTAGGGTTTTTAAATAGAAATAGTACATTCTTTGTAAAAACTTCAATTAAAATATAATATAGATTTTATCATAATTATATTTAAACTATTCAACGCATTGAGTTTAAAAATCACAATAGTTATTGTAATGTTTTTTTCCAAATACTTTCTAGTGCCCTCAGGTAATGGCTTACGTTAGTTCATACGTCAAAGTAACGTAGCAAACTAAATTAACTTTTCATGGTTTTTTTTTGGTACATAGAATAAATTAGACAGTCATATAACAGTCTAGTTTCTAGAATAATCGATATCGACATTGTACTTATATTTCACATCACTAATGTTGTAAGACGCGCCCAATTTTACACAGTTTTAATTTCCGAACGTCCGCATATATTTGCCATAACTCAAAGGTTCATTGTGTGGCCATTATTGACCTTAATGATCCCGATGGCGCTCATCTCGCCCGTCGATACTCCGATCGATAGAGCGTTCGGTAGTGATGTCTAAATTATATTTACGATTAATATTTCAACGCGGGCCGACATAAAATTCGTCAGCGGCGACTCGTTTGTGGCCAGCATTCGGCCGACTCAATCAACTAAATGAATGGGAACACAGATTCTAACACAATTTCCGATTAGATTCCGTTCTTGTATCGACTGCGCATCCGTGTTACGTTGCATCGAAGCTGTTTAAGATCTCAGCCGAAACTCGGAGGATCATAAGCATTATAATAGATGAGTTATGAAGGTTGTTAGTCTCGTATAACGATTTATGGTCAGATTTCCGCATGTCCGATGTCGCAGGTGAACGAGATTTGTGGCGAGAGTTGTTTATCAACGACTGACCGCGCCGTTTCGAATGGGGTTTATTGATTTTTTATTTTCAATATGTTACATAAATATCAATACGAGTTAATTTCACAAACAACGTATTTTTGTGAAATTGGTTCTAAGTTAACGCTTACTTAGTAAATATTTTCAACAAGATACGCTTTATGTACGTGTAAAATCTAAGTATTAACTTTTTTAAATGTAAAAAGACTCCAAGCGAACGATACGATTCTATCTTTAAAAAAGGTGGGTCCTGGCTACCTCACACACCAGATGAAACGCCGAAGTATGACTCTTCCACTTCACGCCGGCCTTCTGTAGGTACTTCCCCGGACGGACCTGCCCATTTGTGCAACAGCGAATACTGTTTGGTGGACCTACAACTAGAATGCGGTACAGACATTCAGAAACAGGCTTCTTTCTATTAATTGTCTATTTGATATTAGCAAAATGGCTAAGAGGAATGTTAGAGGTTGTTATCTCTTATCCTTTAAACGAGCAATTATAATTATATATATATATCGGAATCTCGGAAACGGTTCCAGCAATTTTCCGGAAATTTAGTAGTAGTCCCTGTTTTCAGGGAATGAAAAATATATAATATCATTCAAATATGACAGTAAATTTCGCCTTATATATATATATATATATATATATATATATATATATATATATATATATATATATATGTAGAATCGGAATCTCGGATCAGATCATTTTCTTTATTTTTTATTTCCAAAATACATGATTTACCAAAAAAAAAACAGAGCAAAGCTCGGTCCTCCAGGTACTATTTATTTAATTTACCATGAGAAAAGCGCAGCGGCGTCTTCTAGTGCACGAATTGCCCTGCACGAAATACCCAGGCCTGGCGGAATATTGTCGTTAGTTGCCGAATGCTCTTGCATTTCGTTTCTCGGATGGTACCAATTCACAAAAGTTGAGCAGTCAGGTCGTATGCCTTCTGTCATAAACGAGCGAAGGTGAAAATAAGTAACCTGCAATGTACATCGAAACCACGTCTGTATGTAAAGATATTGTTAATTTCGTTCTTCTTAAACTGGAAATGTATACTCAATCGCATCCTAATTTTAGCTCATCTCATGTGAACACATTAAATTTCGACCGCGATCGCCGAATCTCCGCGGCATATTGAAATAACCCCGCGACACAATAAGTGAGATTATAAAATTGAAATGTGCTACAGTCGGGCAATTAGGCGGGATTAATTTTTACGATTGGAGGTCCGAACGAGGTCCGTTAACGGCCCAAAGTTCGGTAGGCAGGTGCTTGTTACCGCTTTCCAATGCACCGGGAAGTCTTCAAGTTTGAAAGAATTATTTTTTCTATGCATTGGCTTACTCTATGTGTGACCGTAAATTTTTGTATGTAGTTGTATTAATAAATGCATAGAAAAATATCTGTTTTGATGTTTTGTTGTATAATACCTAAAGAAGAGCGACTATTTTGTCTTTATCTGTTTATATACCTATGGATAATAGTGATTACTGTAATTGTGTGTATTATTTAATGTTTGTTTCTTATTGTTTTTATTCTACCCTTTTATTGCCAGTAAAGTGCAAATCACTGCGGTATGATGTTTTATATTTATTCATATAATTGTACGTTTGAGGATTTTCATTTTAAATGAAGCTGATCAAATTCGTAAAAAATTTTGCATTTAATAATTCAAATCAGTAACGTATTGAAAAAATTAAAATGAGGATAATAATTATGATAAATTAGAATATTAGTAATCATAGCACTGAGCTCTGACGATGTATTTATTGTTCCTGCTCAATGCGAATTTAATTTAAGTAAAATCACAACAATTTTCTTATTTTACTTAAATAAAATTTTTGAAATTTGTTACCACAGAACTCGGTCATTTATGAACGGATTTTAAAAATTATTTTTTGATGTATCTTCCATCTGATCCCATATTCATTTAATTGGTGTTGGACCTTTGACTCCAGAGAAACATCGTTAAACAAAATGGAAATTGGTTTTATATTTTGTTAATAAAAATGTACTTGAACAGTGCGGAACGGTGCTATCCCTACAAACACACGGAAAACCGAATATAGTTTTGTTAAGCCGATTTAATCTTTATCGCGCAGGCGTTACGGCACGAAATGCAGCGGCTGCGGGCACGGCATCTCGCCCTCGGACCTGGTACGGAAGGCCAGGGAGAAGGTGTTCCACCTGAACTGCTTCACGTGCCTCGTCTGCCGCAAGCAGCTCTCCACCGGCGAGGAGCTTTACGTGCTCGACGACAACAAGTTCATTTGCAAGGAGGACTACCTAGCCGGGAAGGCGCCGACGCAGCATTGTAAGTCGGATTCGCTTATTCGTTTTTCAAAGTGTTTTCTTTTTTTTCTAGGGCGTAACCGTAAACTGCCAGTGTTCTGATTTTCGAGCGGTCTTTTGTCTTAATAGCTAACTAAAAAGTCCTATACTAAATATCGCTAATAATATCATTTTAAATTGAACCATTTCTACCAATAAGTTTTGCGTAGTAAAATAAGTTAGTCGTGTAATAAGCTAAAATAATGTAGAGAGAAGTTAGGACAACATAAAGTAATACAATATTATTTTGACCTCACATTCTACCAACTGTAATATTAATAGTATCCAAATTAAAATTAAGTTTTAAAGAAATTCGATACGGTTTGTTGTTTTTTACACGTTTAAATAGTAAATATGGGGAGATTGAGTTGAAGAATTTGTATTCCTAAAGCGATTGGAAAATTCGGTAGGTAGATAAGGGCCGAAACGGTCGTGTATTCGGAAGGGAAAAGCGTTTTGCAAAGCTCGTGGAAAGTGGAAATTATAAATTTGAAACATGCATAATAATTTTCATAGACGCATTTATTTGTCACTATATATTGACATGAGCTTTAATATAATAGTTAGGAGTCGTTAAAATCTTGCTCACATACCTTTAACAATACACTACGATATAGATAGATAACTATCATCTAATTATCAACTATCTATCAGCATGTACTTCTATTTCGTCGGTATAATGTAACGGACTACGTTTCATTAAAATTACGCAAACACTCTCGCGTCGGGGCCGCGTGTTTCAAATTCGTTATCAATTTGGAGCCAATGAAAAGATTTCGCGTCCGATGGCGACATTGACGGGTGTCCGTCAGCGGCGCTCCGATTGCTTCAGAATTGCAAAGCTCCCATTCGCGCCATTATTGACGCAAGCCCAATGAACGACACACGCCGTCACGTCCGCGGCAACGAACGCTGCGGTCGCAAGAAAAAATAAATGAGCTCCTCGTCGAACGCTCTCGAATCTCGAGCGGCTCTCGTTCGCGTTCGAACGTGACGTGTGAGGGTCGCGTCCACAGATTAAAAAGGCGCGTTCGTTGTTTGACAGCGCTTCGGGTGCGGCGTAGCCCGAACTCCGCTCCGAAATCGGTAACCGTGAGCAGCGGTAAAAAGTACCCCGCCGCCGTCGGGAAAAAAACGTCAACCGAATTACACATTAGCCACGTCTCCACGCGGTAGTGGCGTAGTCGTTTTTTCGTCGCTTTTTCTCCAACGACGGAGCGAAGGCGACGCTGCGACCACAAAAACTACGGCCCGTGGCGAGTCGTGGGCCGGTGGAGATTTGAATACGTTTTTGTAGTGGCGAATGTTTTCACGATGTATCCGGATCTATTGCTGTTGTGACGACTTGTCGCTTGTCTTTTTCTTTGTACGATTTCCTCTCGCCAGTTGGAACGAAGTTAATATGGTTTCTTGTCACGAGGAGTTGTCTCTTTTGCTGTGTCTTCCCCTAACCAGTAGGTGGAAAGGCATGTGAATAAATCAACGATTATAAAACGGTAAAAGTAAAGTAAGCATCCTCCGCTGTACAGATGGTATTAGGGCATAGTCCACCACGCGACCCCACTGCGGATTGGTGGACTTCACATATATTCGAAATACTTAGTACCCGATGGAGCTATCAATTGGTAATTTAAAATACATTTTCACGTACCCAGTGGCGAAGGGAAACATCGCGAACCCTGTATATTTTTCAAATAATAATAAAAGAGTATTTCGAAGAAATATGAAGAATACCAATCCGTATGACTATATGCCCTAATATCCATAGTTCAAGAGCCTTTCGCCAAGTAGAGAGACACATGTGATTACTTTATTTGATGTGCAAATATTGAATCAGTAACACATTACCAAATACGGGTAATGTGTTAATTTGTGATCTTCTAGGAATGGTGGCAACAAGGCGCATTTCCCTCGCAGGATATTCAAACTTAACCTTTAAAACAGAAGAGAAGGGGCGCCTTTGACCGGATGTAATTCTTCTAAAAATTTCAATGTAAGGCAATCCCACATTCTTGAATCCTGTACAGTAAATAACTTAAGTCTACAAGATATAATATTTATAAGTTATATAAATTAACAATTTACATAATTAATTAGTGACATATTCTATAGGTATTGTTATGTAATGGTCAAAATGGGGTAGACACATCCTAACGAGGATAAAGACTCCAAAATAATGTGATAAAAAATAGTGTCAGATATTTAGCGAGTTCCGAAGTTTGTCATACGATAGGAAACCGTAAAAATCTCTAAAACGATTGTTTTAGCACGATCTCACACTCTAACACTCTTCATTACAAATACCGCGGATCCGCGCCCACAATCGCAGTATTATTCCGCACTAACAATATCTAAACACAATTACGCCGTGCAAACAAGCGACGCCGCGGGCCGGCACATGTTGCGGGCGCACCGGCGCAAACAACGCGACCCCATACCTCTGGATTTGTTTACTCTGCCCGCGTGAAACACATCTATGCTAACTCCCGTTAATATCACTGAAAATTTAGTTTCGCTGTCAAAATAGTAAATAGACAAACAGAAAACACGACTACATACAATCCTTACTAATATTCTGTAGGCGAAAGGATGGATTCGTAAGTATGGATGGATGTTTGTTACTCTTTCACGCAAATACTACTGAATGGATTTTAAGGAAAACGTACAATAATATAGCTTATACATTAGAATAAGACATAGGCTATAATTTATATACATATTTTAATGTCTTTCTGCATGTTACCACCTATACTTACAAACTTTCGCCTTTATAATATTAGTAAGGAAGTAAGAAAGTAAGGATAGGTGAATGTAACATATGATATAGAACGTATACGGAAAGAGATAGCGGTCTATAGAATTGCAATCTGATTACACCAATTGGCATAATTTGCTTCAGTTTCAGTGCGATATTGTCATATCTAGTTCGTATTTGTATATAATATCACTAATTGCTTCCCGCAACTACGTCTGCGTAGGACACGCTGAAGGCCTAACATGCAGACAGGAAGACATATAAACATTAAAATATGTATATAAATTATAGCCTACGTCTTATTCTGACGTGTAAGCTATATTATTGTAAATTTTCATTAAAATACATTCAGTAGTATTTGCGTGAAAGAGTAACAAACATCTATCCATACATACAAACTTTCGCCTTTATAATATTAGTAAGGAGGCTATTTTGCAAATAATACAACAAAATTAGCTTGACCAGAATATAAAAGAAATAACAATACAATCTTGATATTTTCAATCAAGAAATGAAAAAATAATGGTTCTTTCCTTAGTTTTTCGTGTATGCACAGCCAGAGGTCCGTTTTAACATTTATGATGAAGATTAATGTGATTTATTTATGGACGGTAAATCACACGAGTGCCTCATTTGCATGCGCTCACTCCAAACAGGAACAAGGTCTCACCGTCCGTCTCCGTTATTTAACACTGCTCAGTTATAAATTTTCGTATTCCATTAAAGTTTCGTTTGTCATATTTAAATTAAGTCGTCGTTAATTAGGACATTACTTCGCGGCTAAATTGACTTCATAAATTCACTTCCTTTGCCTTATTTCATGCTGTGTTAGATGTGAGTATCCTGATTTCTCTTTTAAAACACAATGTAGTGTTTAAGACATCTTAACTCACATGTTAATTTTGATCACATCGCGTTTAAAAACTAATTTTAATGTTCGCAAACGAAGACAGCTATTTTATTAAATTTACTATTTCAAATTACTCACAGTATTATGATATAATTTTGTTCATAGGTTTAGAAAAACAAAAAACATAATTGGAATGAAAACCACAATTTGAATATTTTAAAAAACGTAAACGATAAACTATATCTTTTAGGTACGTTTTCTTAAAACTGTTAAAAAGCTGTAAATTATTTAATGAAAACACTTTCGAAAGTAAAGATTACGAATACTTAGCGCGAACAACACGCAGTTCAAACCGGAACTTTCGAGAAACCACTAAGCACTAGATATTAATAACATCTGTCAAAATCATGGCGCTCTTTCTAGCAGAGGACATTAGAGGGGAGGTTAAGCTCGATAGCATCTCCACCCCTCCGAATGATGCAGATATATGATACAGCAACAAGAAATCACTTCCACCGGCTGGTTCAAATCCCCTGGACGAGGAGATTAGGCCGAAATGCAACTCGCGCAGGGGATAAGGAGCTTACGCGGTTATTGATACCGTTAATTCACCCGTGCTCAGGTTTTCCCGCATCGTTCGTTTTTCTCTTTAGCTGCACGTTTTTTTTCTTTTAGAATTCATTTTCGGCCAGTGGTATTCTGCAAAAGTCAGATTTTGGTGATTAGAACATATGATTTATTTTCTTGTTATTATTTTTTGTGAGAACATTGATATGGAACATATGTTGGCAACACTAAAAGAAGTGTCATTCTGTGAGGTATAAATGAAGCTGCAATAAGCATTTCGTGGTCTTCGTCGTATTCGTCATCTTTGGCTGTCAAACCAGAAGTATACACCATACTGCTGCCCAATCAGTATCACAGATTAAATAGTTAGAGTTCTATTTCTTCAGTGTAGAATTGATAAAATAAGTAATTATACCAGTTATTAATATTGTTGTGCAAAGTGAAATTACGGTAATTTGGTAAAAGTATTTATATTTCTACATTCTTAGCTCGATAAAACAAAGTATAGCTAACACATACTGGTGAGTTCAGACTTTTCTCGTTCAGTGAATCGATAAATGATTAGAAAAGATGAATATACCCGTAATATGTCGTGTGCATATTATGTCAAAATAATATTTTCCATGAAATACAAACTTATGTATTTTATTCTCCTCTGTCTAGCCTAGTAGGTACTAAAATTCTATGTAGGTATTTATATACATAATGCACATAATTAAATAATAATATATATTACATGTGTATATTATTTTTAACATAAACTAATCACAGTTATAATTAAAAAAATATTTCTTTAATAACAAATGTTACT